TGGTTGTTCAGATGTTGCACTTGCTAATGGTGCAACCAAATGAGAGAGTGTTGGGATACTAAACAGCTTTCCTTATTTTCTCTAGCTAGACGTAAGAGAAAAATGGCTTGGGTAGAATTCTCTGGGAAATATTCCATTCAGTACAAAGATTCTTAAGCCTTGGCAAATTTTCTACAGTGTTGTGCCAGAGGTGACTATGGATCTACCCTCATTCTTTTGAGAATTGCAGCCTAATTTGTTCTATTTACGTATTAAACAAATAATTGAAAAGAAAAGGGGAAAAGTCTAAATTACTTCAGAGATGGGCCAGAGATCTGAGAGAGAATGAAGTTTGTTCTGTGGATGTATTTGAGAGTGGTAAATGGACGTAACTAATTTGCTGAAATAACATTAATGAAGGGGGTGAGGTGAGATTAGGATCTGAATTCTTTTTATGGTACCTCTTCAAGGATATTTTCTCTGTGACTAAGCTTGTTGCTAGCTTTGGAGCCTGGCTTGGTAAAAAAAAAACTGTGAGAGAGTTGGTGAGCAACAGGTAGATAAAGCCATCCCTTCATTCTGTTCCCACCCTTGCACTTACAAATAAGCACGAAGATCAATTCTGCACAGGAACAATGTTCTGATGTTATTTGTATATGCTCAAGGCTCAGCCAGTTTTCTTCAAATAGCCTTTCTCTCAGGCCTAACTGCCATCTTGGATGGGCCTCCTTATGATTCCTTTGTTTCCACTTCCTTTTTTAAAAAAAAAGTTAGTGATAACATATATTTAGATACTACACAACTCCCAAAACATTAGATTATTTACAATAATCAATAGTAAAAACATAAATCAACAACCACAAAGCCAAAAAAGCAATAATTGTAACAGAATAAAACCCTGTCTACCAAAACACAAGAGCCTAGTTCTTTTCTTTGAGCCTAACATCCATCGTTTTTTCTCTTTGCTGTTGTGCCTTAGTCAGATCAGAATACTTTGTACATTCTTCCGTAGATAAGGAAAGTGGAGTCCAGATGTCCTCCCTTTTTTTGGAGTCACTGGGTACATATAAAGTTTAAAGAAAATATCATGAGTACTCTTATAAAATGGCAACTACAGGACATGTGCTGCATTTCACTATAAAGTGATGGCATCTGCTGGAAGTGATTTTTAAATTGAATCATGTTTTTAAACATAAATCTTCAGGATAAATTAGATGCTTTGTAATGTGAGGACCACACGGCCCCTTCTTGGCACAATGGTTTATTGTGTGTGGGTAATCCATTTATATGACTGCCCACCTTGCAATAGCAACTCTGGGCAGCTAACAGAATTTAAAAACCTGTGATACAAAATAAACATCAATATAAAAAACACAGAATGGCAGCGAAGGACAACACCAATCAACAGTAAATTGACAGCTCCTGGCAGGTTCAGCTAATTAGCCATCCAAGCTTTTAAGGCTTTCTGAAAAGCCAGCAGGCCAACTGAAACTCCCTACCACTTTTGACTTAATAAAATGGAAACAGACTTCCTTTGGTTTTTCTTCACCTTATTTCTAAGGTTGCTGCGCATTAATGGTGACTCCTGCATTTGCCATTTCTGCTAAGTCAGAACTGGGCATCCGGTGTTATATGCAGCTTCTTTTCTATGACTTTTGGAACTTCCTTTTAACACAACTGCACGCGATTACCAAATATGTACTTACTTTGCATTGTTGCCTGTTACTGCTACTGTTCCCTCAAAAGTATGCTTTAAACATTGGCCTTTTAGATACTGTGTTTTAAACTTTTTAAGTACCTGTGTACTTTCCTAAGTTATGTTTTATATAGCTTAGTAAATGCTGACCTGACAATATTAGATTTGACAAATGGAAAGGCACAGCACTTCTTTCAGCCACCTAGACTATCTGAGTTGTATTAGTAGCTTTAAGTCTTAAGGAAATGAAATGAAACAGGAAGAGAACAGGCTGAGATATGGGCAGCTTGGATACTTTAGGCTAAGGCTTTTTGGCAGCTACCTAAACTGAACAATAAGATTTTCTAAGCACCATTCTCACAGAGTTCTCTTTTAGCAAGATTTATTGAGATAGATGGAATGGGTTTAGAAGAATCCCAGCCACTGAACAGCTTCCAGGCAATGAAGCTGGTCTCTTCACTGTTAATGGGGTTGTTTTCAGATAGTTGTTTATGTGGTCTCTTGAATTTCTATCGGTCTGGGAATAGATGCCTTACAGCAGGATAAATGTACTTGTTGCTGGTTCAACCTGACCAAAGAAAGTCTAGCACTGACATAGAAAAGATTAAGGTTACCGTTCCTTAAACAGTGATCTACTTTAAAAGATTGCAACCTGACCAAAGAAAGTCTAGCACTGACATAGAAAAGATTAAGGTTACCGTTCCTTAAACAGTGATCTACTTTAAAAGATTGCAACCTGACCAAAGAAAGTCTAGCACTGACATAGAAAAGATTAAGGTTACCGTTCCTTAAACAGTGATCTACTTTAAAAGATTGGTTCTGAAATTAATATTACTCCATTATAACAGAGAGGCATATAAAATCTTTTGTATTTGAATTGATCACATTCCTATCCCAGAGCAGACATCAGTTAAAACTAGATGCTGTAGGGTCTGGAGTGGTTTAAGAGATAATATTCTTTCCAATTCAAAGGCTGGAATATCCTGGAGTAGTGGTAGGCATGATTTTAAATGAATTCCTGAACTCTATGGGGAAAAGTATGGTTTTGGAAATAACAAGTAGATTCACTTAAGAACCTCACACATGCTGTTGATCAGGATGGCGTCCTACTAGAATGTAGTAAAACTCTATCCCATATTTGACTATAAGTGACTATAAGGATAAAATGTCCTAAAGATCCCTCTGCTTCATCATAATAGCATTTGCCACTTATTAGTTATTCTTTTAGATTTCCTTCTGTAAATATCTTCTGTCTGACATGGGTCTATTTGGTGATTTTTAGTAGCTGGCTTTTTAAAAATATGCGTATTTGCAAATTTTGGGATTTCCCCAAGTCTATTGTTGTACATAGATTTCATAATCTAGCTCCATAAACCTGAGACATTTTGTACTGCTATTTGAAAGAATAGTTGGAAAATGAAAGGGTTTTTCCTCCCCTTCATCTTGATATTTTTCAGGAGGTTAGGATATATGCATTTGTGCCCAATTCCAGCTAATTACAAATATAAATTCTTTATTGATATCTGTGGACAACTGTCTTCTCTATCATTGGAAATGTTTTAATATAGCTTCACAGTATCGAATTGAGGAATTACATTTTCAGACAAGGAGATGTCCAACTAAACTGTTTACATTTGGGGAATTCTTCCTTCTTTTTCCTTATCTATCCCACTTCATATTTTTCTTCTATTATTGGCTTATTCTTTTTGGAAAAGAGGTTTTATATTCTGGCAAACCATGGATTATGATCTGCTGATACTATCCCCTCGTTGCTGGTAGTGCAGATTTGTTGATATTTGAAATAAAAACTTTATTGATGAAGGCTATAATAATTCCTTCTGGTGTAAAGAATGGTACAAGTTTCTGCTGGTACTTTCTAAATCTTATGTACCTGAGGCTGTGAAAAGGCTGCTGCAGCAGTATCTTCAAATATTAGTCATCTGCTTTGGTACCTGTTCTGACATTCTGAGAATCCATCTCAACTCAACTGTAATTTTACAGCCTTTCTAAAAGCTATAGTTGCAGTTGCCCTATCTATAGGATACAGGTTTCTCAAATAAATTCTTAGAACACATGACAGTTCCCCTGCCATCTATTTTATAGAAGAAGCTCACCCTCTTTACAGTCAAAATACAGCAAAGTTTAGCTCTTTTTTCTGTGTGTGTGAACAGTAACCCAAATTGGGGATTAAAAACAAAAACAAAAACAGATTTGGAGCTACTATTGTGAAAAGGTGGATTAAATCCCAACCCTACTTGAAACAAGAGATGAACACAATTTATTGTAGATTTCAGTGAGTTCTTCTCATCTTTTCCCTTGATCCTTCAGCTGCAAGGCAGAACAATAAAATAAATGAGGGAAATGCACATCTCTGAATGTTTTTGGTGGGGGGAGCATTTGTATCTGTTTCCTTTGATTAATGAAGACATGGCAGGGAAGAGGGCACATTTGGAATGACCTTTCTCCGTCAAATCCAGATTTACTACAGAGCCCAAGTATACCACACACACAACATTACATATATCCCCATGCCCTTTTTCCTAGCATGTCTTCATCAGTCAGAGGTGCCGTGCTTTCCTGGACACATGACTATGCTGTATGAGCCCAAGAAATCACGTCTTAAATTTAAGGAGACAGCTGACAGGTGCAACACACATGCCTATACACTCTCTAAATCATCTTTTCCCTTTTGACTCCAGATTGTTGCGTAACCGCACTGTGTACCTTGCATGAACAGCTACATATGTGTATGCCTAGTTCTTGCCTTTTGTTCTGGAAACTATGATATTATGCATACAGCTATAAATAATGCACTGTATGGACACAGGAATGACCTATGTATTTACCTGCACAGTACTGTACTGTATTTATAACTATATAGGTGTAAATAGAGTCTTATGCATTCCTTGTTTCCTTGAGTAGGTGCCACATTTATTTTTCTATCTTGGTTCAGTGAAGAATATCAGGCAATATAGTTCTCTGACACAACCAACAGGTTTTTTTTAACATAGCTTTCAGAAAGAGCCCTACCAGAAATCACTCCATCTTCTACATTTAATTATACTTCAGAAGAATTCATATGATGTTAGTTAATAGTTAACTGTTTTATAACTTTTCATTTATAAAAAGCTTCGGTTATTGTTGCTATTATTGAAATGATTATTTTGGATTCTACCAGTTTCCTCAGTAATTCCTGTGGCTATCAAGACTGACTTTTTAAAAGTTTGTTATGGTTGCTTTTCTGTTATATAAACAGAAACTCAACCTCAACATATAATTATATGAGTATTAATTTTTTGTAATAATCATTTTCTTTTCTGTGCAGGTCAACTTTGTAGTGTGCCAACTGTTTGCCTTGCTTGCTGCTGTATGGTTTCGAACTTACCTTCATTCAAGCAAAACTAGTCCGTTCATAAGGCATGTTGTTGCCACTCTGTTGGGCCTTTATCTTGCACTTTTTTGTTTTGGATGGTAAGTAGCTTGATTTTTCTTTTCAGTGCTTTTATTTCCTAGAGTTAATTTTTGATTGCTGGGTTTTACTCCCAAAACATTAGCTAGTGTATTCTTAAAGGAAAGGGATTATGACAGGACCCATTTATTAAACTTGGATACAACAGGTGACAATGGCTCTAGAGTAA